GATGATGATGATGTCACGTGACAGAGCCATGCTGTCCTGGCCCCGGCTTGACCGGAGTGATACTACTACCGAGCGTTTCACTGTGCAAGTGAGGTTGCCTGATTCCCAACAAGACCAATGTTCATATAACTTCTAGTATTGGAGTACATAAGCGTCACTAATACTTGATAATATATAATGTACTACATGACATCTAACTGTTTGCAAATTCCTTCACAGACAATTAAAAGTTTCCCCCTAGTGGACAGCCCATCGTCCATGGTACTGCTAGGTTCCATCCACCGCTGGGAGCTGGTGAAGGTGATAGAAAAGCAGGTCGGCAGAGATAGGAGGTTACAGATCGCGGCGCTATGGCATCGGGAGGCGGAGCTTAGGAGGAGGGACGAGGAGGCTAGGAAGAAAGTTAGGAGGCCTTCTAGGTTTGAGGTAAGTTTTGACATTTTTATTTATAGGTAGAGTGGTATACCGAAAACGCATGTTGGACATTTTCTGTTTGCTCTACCGCAAAAACCGAACGATCGAGTAGGTCAACAAAAAATCTTTTCAAAGTCAAAGCATCTATTTCAATTAAACCATAATTTGGTACTTTGCAACCTCAAAAAATACAAAATAAATAATAGTCTGTCAGTCAGTCCGTCAGTGAAGCTAGGTGAAGCTAGGTGCTCATTCCAAAATGTAGATTCTAATGGAGAAGAACGAGCAAGAAACTCCATTCCATTTCTTACTAACACAGCAGTTATCTCGCCATAGACATGACAATCAATGTTACAGGTGACTCCGGCTCCAGATATGCTACAAGTCCCAGGCACCGGTATGACGAGAGGATCCTCACTCACCACCAAAGACCAGGGAGGTCTTATACCTGGTGAGCACCTACTCTTTATATTATTATAGGTTTAACAATTGCTTGCAGAGATCTATAATCTAGAAATGAACTGCTCATATTATGTTACAGTATGCGAAGCATCATTGAGTAGGTTGTTCAAACTATATTCATAATATTTTATGTGGTCGCCATACATACGTATCGTCACGTCTATCTGTCATTAGAGAGCGACAATGAAACGATTTTAAATTACAAAATGGGGCCTACCATACAGTAGTATGGTACAATAGTATGGCTCACCATAGCTCCAATGTACTTGTACTGCAATGTACTCTCTTTCTTCGTTCAATAGGGTTTTTTTTAAACGTTGTCCCACATCAGTTTGCTTACTCTTGAAACCAATCTCAATGTCAATACAATTTCAATCCAATAAAATCTCAATAATTATTCAATGTCAAAACTATACAACCCCTATCGTAGCTGTTAAAATAGCATTCAGAGTACGGAATATAAAGCCAAACCCAATACCATTTAGTACAATAAATATCCGCGCAATACGGATGCAATGGGCGCTAGTGTTGCAACTCAAGAGTTCGAAATTTCACAATACTAATGTCGATCGATCGGAATTGGATTCAAGAGTAAGCCCCCAGGATTTTCTCTTGTGTCGTGGGCACGTATACAAACATACAATTGCACAAACACATGACACCCAAACCCGGAACAATCTATGGATCACACAAAGAGTTATTCCGTGCGGGAATCGAACCCGCGACACGTTGGGCGGCAGCCAGTTGCCCAGCCATCGCGACAACCGTGCAGTTTTAGTATGTCTCACGATAGTTATTACAAACACAACCTCTAGTCTGTCGACGTATGTGATACAATAGTAAACATATGCGTTCCTACACTACACAGGTTAAATCAATCGCTTCATGTATGCTCGTCGATTGAGAGTGATCACCACAGCTTTGATAACTTCTTTATAATTACAACAACAGACCTCTTAATTATCTAAAATCAGGGGTTACTCACGTGAATATACTGAGAAAACCTCTACTAACACTGGTACTAATACTGGGTCGAAACTAGTAAAGCTTTTCTCAGTATATTCACGTGACTAACCCGCGATTTTAGTAAATTTAGTATGTCTCACGATAGTTATTATAAAAACAGACCTCTTACTTTATTAATTTGTTTGTCCTGTAGCTCCAGGCCAGCTATTCCGTCCGAAGTCGATCCTGAAGAAGACGAACTCGTTCACCCTGTCGCGGGGACTCGGGGCCGGAGTACCCAGCGCCCCCAATACCCCCAGCACTCCGCAACCGTCTGTCTATACTACTGTTACGGGGGCTGAGACCAGGTCTGTATGGAGTACAAAATTGAAAGTACTAAAACAGTATTTTGTTTGTTGGAGTACCATTTGGGAAAAGGAAATACTCCAGTCTTTACCTTTTTCTCTAATTCTTAATTTAAATAATTTAAACAAATAACTTTGTAAATAAAAGGCTGCCAGCATTAGATAACTATAGTCATATATTTTTAATAATTCTTGTTAAAGAAAAACAAGCCTTTAATAGAAATCCACTATAATAAGAAAGATGATGGATATCAAGGTAACAAAATAACATTCCTTCACTTAAGACAAGTTTTATTAAACCCTCTATTTTAAAAATAAAAATCAATAAGGACACAAAACTTACCTAATACTTGTACTTTCAGGATCCGAGCAGCGTTCGAGGCGATATTCAAGCGTTCCACCCTCCTACAAGACGTGGAGGGAGGACTACCAGACCAACTCAGCCCTACATCATTGCCTAGAAGCCCGTCTATCAACAAGAAAGTGCAGCTGGTTAGTATAATAATATTATTTATATACAAGATTTTTTTAAACAATATGATTGCACCGTGAGCGCAGTGGGTGGGCAACGGACTGCTGCGCAGTGTTACAGGCTCGATTCCTACACGAAACAACATGGTGAGATTTGTATGTAAACTTGAATATTTTTATGTTATAAAATTGTCTAATTAAAATTATTAGTCACTAGCTTTTACCAGCGTATTCGTGTTCTATCCCATGGGAGCATTTAACCGAGATAAAAAGTATCCTACCACCTAAGTCAGTCCATACCCTGCCTGTATACCAAATGCCATAAAAATCCATTCAGTAGTTTCAGCGTGGTTGACGAACAAACACCCAAACAAGGAATGTATCATATTTAAAATTGTAGTGTGATTTTTAAAAAAAAAAAAGACGTTGACCCACCTGTGGTTGCGTTTACAAACATACAAGTTCACATATACGTGACACCCAGACCCGGAACTACATTCTGTGGATCAGACAAAGAGTTATTCCGTGCGGGAATCGAACCCGCGACACGTTGCGCGGCAGCCAGTTGCCCAGTCACCGCGCCTACTGTGCAGTCAAATAAAAAAGAAATATAACTATAAAAGCCTTTGTGTGTTTCCATTCCAGCCACGTGAGCGAGTATGCGACATGTCTCCGGAAGACCAGAAGGCTTGGGAACAGATGGAGATGGCCAAGGAGATAGACTTCGACAGAATGCTGCAGATAGCCAGGAAGCGAGATATGGTGAGCTATCGATTTCATCATTACCATTATCGTCATCACACCGGGCTCTTGTAAGTCCCGGATTGACCTAATACTAGTAAAGCTTGTCTCGAATACTTTTTTTTATGGCATAAGCCGGTAAATGAGCAGACGGATCACCTGATGGTAAGCAATCGGCGTCACCCATGGACACCTGGAACACCAGAGGCGTTACAAGTGCGTCACCGGCCTTATGGGGATTAGGAGTTTGAGGATTTGGGGATTAGGAGGAGGATTTATGTGTAGAAGTCGATTATTTTAATTAATTGAGTACCTATATCTCACGATAGTTCATATATCATGATTTTAAATCTATTCTCTCTTCTTTAGCACCCCGACGACCCGGAGTATGAAGATGAGAACCTGTACATCTGCCACATCGACCCTGCGCCATTCCAGCTGGTGGAGAGGACCTCGCTACTTAAGGTATAGAGTTTTATTCTGTAAGAAAGCTCAACTAGCTAGATAGTTCAGACAGCCAGACTATTTATTCCTTTTCTACTATACATCCTGGCTTGCAGCAGTTGTAGTGGTTTCGGCAAATTCTGGCAAGCTTGTCCCAAGAAAAAGAAAAAGCCAAATAATGATTACTTTAGTAATAATAACTTATAAATAGTTCTAAATAATTTTCGATTGATTGATAAAAACTGTGCCATAAATACCTAATTATGATACAGGTCCACTCGCTGTTCTCAACACTTGGTGTCAGCAGAGCATATGTGACTGCCATCGGACGACTGATCGGTGTCGTGTCGTTGAAAGAGGTGAGATTTATTATAATTACTTATTCTATAGCTATGATGTGAAATGTTTATCTAAACTCCATTGTAAGGAGTATGGTTGACACTTCAGTTGATCGAAGGGCTGGCTACTACCTTGGGCAAAGTTTAAGCATTGCCATTCAACGTGGCAATGCTGCCAGTCTTTTGGGCATCCTACCTCACGATAACGATGAGGAAATATTTTTTTTGATGCCTTATGATAGCTTTTTTATTATTTTTTTTTTAAGGTTTAAATATTTTAGTTCATAGTTATATATATTTTAAATTTTAAAAATATATCATAAAAAGAATAAATGAAATATTAAAAAATAAAACCACAAAAGGATGACTATATCTTGCAGCAACGAAAATAACTTTTGTGTTTCTATCCTTTTACTACTTAGAACTATTATTATAAAAATATAGTGAGAAAGATAGCGAGAGCATGATGGCACGCGTATAGAATTTGCTGACAAGTAGTTTTATTCTTATACTTTGATTACAAATATTTCTCATTCATATTTAAATTCTTATATCAGACTGTGATTCTAAAAATAAAAGTAAAAAATTATTCTCTTTCTCAACAGCTTCGAAAAGCGATAGAAGACGTGAACTCCGGGGCCTTAACCCTGGCTAATCGTCCGGAGCCCCCGCAGACCCCGCTGCCTACCGTCATCAAAGTAGTGTCCACGCAGCCCGCGCCGCCCTCTGACAGTGAGACAGCTAAACTCACCACTCCTGGTGATCATTGAACAACTCCAAAACCACACAGGTTAAAATTTCCCAATATGAGGTTTTTTGACAGTTAAGGTCGTAAATTCCTAAAGAAAGGTTTTATTCGACACTAAAGGTCGTGATTGTTTTCAAATCCAAGTCTTTTTGACTCTACAAGTAGAATAGGTCAGTCAGAGCTGTTACTATATATTATGTAATGTGACAGTTAATTATTATTTTATTAAGAAAGGTTATCTTTGAGGTTTTTTCTTTGGTCTATTTGAGTGCTGACTCAGTCAATATTTTATTTATTTCATGGCCTCAGATATAAAACTATATTATTACTACTGATGTCTCATTTCTGTGGCAGCTGATGATAACAAATACAAATAGAATCCCTTTTTTGTTTGTATTAGAGTCTAACTAAGTAATTAACTATCTCACATAGACAAGCTATGCGATACCTTTAAAAGTGATTAAAAACCTCTCATCTCTATTTAACTTTGACTATAAAGTCAGTCTTAGTTTAAATTAAGAAATTAAAAAGACATTGTATAAAACAGTAAGCGAACTGTTTGCTATAATTCGAATCCGTGACTTAGGCTTGGGAAGTATTCCTAAAAATAAGAACTTAAATTGGGAAAATTCCCATTCAAAGGTTCTTTAAGAACTTTTTTCGGTAAGTATTGTAGTTTTTAGTAGATTTTTTCCTGAATACTCAGTATATGTTGAGTAGAAAGTATTGTAGTCACAAATATGTGAATGCTGTGGCATAATTTTTGATGATTCGGTCATTATTTTTAACTAAGTTATGAGGCTTGAAGCCATAGAACGTTATAATAAGTTCTTTCTTAGGTTAGTGTAATAAGTTCCTTAATGTCTAGATGTTCAGAAATCTGTGGCTTAGAAACATCTGTGATGGACTAAAAGTCAAAATTAATGTGATCAAAAAATCCCTTGTCCAAAGATTTTTAGCAAATTCGTATAGGAATTTTCCCAATTTCAGGTTCTTTCCTATTCATAGGAATTTTCCCATTAGATTAAAAGTTATAGAGAATTGTTCTCACTATGCATAATTTAAGACTTGTCACGCAAAGACATATCGAAACGATTGTTTTACATTATTATGTAAAATAACTGTAAACGTCACAATTACGTAAATATATACTTTATTACGTTGTAAGTAGGTGTATTTTTGATAGATATTTTTAATATTAGATGGTGCTTCCTGCAAGAGATTAGTAGCAATTATGAAGAGCGATTTGATATTCTATTTGGTCCTAGCGATGAGGAGTTTTAAGCAATTCAGTGTAAAAAGCAATATTTATTATAGTTAGTAATTTATTTAAGATCGTGCGGAAAAAATGTTTCAATGAACGGCAAGTCAACCTAACCTGATGTGTTTAAGACATTTTCAACTTTATTATCGCTCTAGAAATAAGGTTGAAAATATTTTAAAGGGGAGACTAGGTTGATGTGCGTGTCGTTTGTTGGTTGGTAAAATTGCTTAGAAATACCTTTATTAAGCTAGTTGACGTTTGTATCAACAAAGCAATAATACTTTAAGTACATTGCTTCAACTTAGTGCCTTAGATTTTCGATATTTTTTGTTATGTACAGGCAGTTGTTGTATTTTCAATATATTTAATTATACACCCACTGTGATTGTAGAAAAATAAATATACAAAACCGTCTTTTTGACGTTCAAAAATATATTAAAATCGATACTTGTATAAGGCAATAGATTTAAACTTTTTTAGTATTGCCAGTGTGAATATTTGCAGCATATTTTTTTCATCTGGCAACCCCATTAAAGGCCCTGCAACGCCTGTACATTAGACCAAATTTATACCCCAAGGCTTGTGATCGTCCATTCATTCCAAAAGTGTTGTTTCTTAGTTATTAAGTTATAATTATTATTTAATATCGTTACATTATTATATCTGCCAGGAGTCTTATACATTTGTGTCCAGAAATATATGTTTTTTGTAATAAATAACTGGGTTTCGTATTTAGTGTGGGAGAAAATATCAGCCTGTATCTACCACTGATGAGTAATGAAATTTTTAAATAGATTATATATTTACAAATATTTTTTAAAGATTGATTCAGTACAGATATAGCAGTCATTTGTTGGCGCTACTGAACCGATCAATGGCTACAGATGTGGCTTGGTTAAAATCTATATATCTAATAGTGTAATAAGAGTCTCTGTACTATGTCAGTCTTTATTTTTTACATTCATAGCAAATAGCTGTGCCGACTATAGTAAGTTATTTTACTAAGTTTTGTGAGATTAATTTCTCAATAACAACACTGTATTTTGAATTATATTTTCTGTATATCGTTATAATAACTGCTAAAAAATCAGTTTGTTATAAATGTAACTCTACCTACCCTTTCGGGTAATAGCAAGTGAGATGTTACAAAGGTTTTATATGAGAGGCTATTTCGAAAACAGGATACGTATTAACTCTTTGAGTACAGTTTAAACTGTCAAACACCGCGAGGACACCGGTGACCGCAACCTATTGTTCTTTAATTGTGTCTATAATGACGGTACTCAACAAGTTAAGATATTTTTTCTAATCGTGTAAATGAAACCCAGTACATAATATTTGTGCCATTGTAACAGTATAAACGTGCCATAAAATCATTGGCTCAAATATACATAGAAGGACATACACTATGAGTACCTATAGATAAAAATATTTAATAGTCATAAACGCCATCAAATTCTAACCATTAAAATGCAAGAAATTATATGTAAATTCCAATGCTTTTAGCGGGTAACGAAATCTCCCAAAAGAATTATTTTTCGTATTCAATTTAGTCAATTACTGTTTGTTCTACGTAGAAATACAAAATAAATACAATAGTGTATCTTCCATTCATCGATGAAATAAATCTTTCTATAGTCTTTACTTGTACAAAACATACCATTTTTATGTATGCATCTTTATATTACTATTAGTACGAAATATACGAAATATTCTAATATTCTGCAATCATAGCATACTGAAATTTCTCATAGTGAATGTTCTTCTTAAAAAAAAATATTTCTCTAAAACAATGGTTGTACCCGACATATCTTTGTAAGTCCGTCCCAGGGATAAAATAATAATTTTTCATGTTATACAAAAATTAATACTTTTATACAACTGCTGTTATTTTTGCTTTCCTAACTGACTATAATTTTTATATAACTTTTAAAACTATCTATATTATTATGTGTACAATATATAAATGTTTTCTTAGCTACCTTGACTATACTTTTGGCTAGGCTCATTTAAAATTTACTCAAAAGTCTTCAAATATTATAGTAATGATTTTTTAAAAAACCAAAGCATGAGATGAAATAATATAATATAATAGTTGTTATATATAACTCGAGAAAGTAAAGTATTTTAGATAATTATATAATTCCCCAAAAAAGGTTGACTGAAAATCTTTGAACACTATTTTGTTCAAGTATTGAGTTCATTTTATAATACAGTCTAGCCAAAAAGATATTTAATCAATTACAACAATACTATGACAAAACTATCTTTCTTTTCTAGCTTATTTTAATACTGACATGTGCATACAGCAAATGCAAGCTTCACCAATATCTTTAATAAATTTATAACCTTATCATGAGTGTAATAGTGTCGAGAATCTTGAATTTTTTACCTTTTTGGAAGAATATACCTTTTTGCAAGATACTCTTGCTGTGCTGTTTTGCGTTATAAAAAAGCAAATTATCAGCAGTCCAAATAATATTGTTATAGACTCCAAAAGCTTTCGGACATGTTTGTATCCTCAAATTCTGTGATTTTTAATAATATTATTTAATAAATAATAATAATATACAATAAAACGAGAGTGTTGTCTGGTCACCCTCTTTATTTGATTTGTGTTTTTTGTGATTCGGTTTTTTATTTAGTATTATGGTTGTTTTAAATAAATACAAATAACAATGAGGTTATTTGTATTAAGTTCTATATAATTAAGCAAGGAGTGATTGTTTAATCTACTTTTTTCATAGATATATAATTAAATAACGTAATCTAAATCATAAATTTCAACTATGTTCAAAATCAGAAAGTAAATAAAATACAATAATTAAATTCATATCATTATTGCGAAAAAATGACGTGTCAATATATGTCGTATCATTGCATTGTCTCAGCCTACTCGGAAGACAAGCTTATAAACTTTTCGTATTAAAGCTTATATAACAGGGGATTATATAAAACGCATAACGTATGTTGTATAAAAACAACCGAAATACTAAAAAAAAATCGAGGATGTTATATAAAAAGTATTTTAATATAAATGGATGGTTTGCACGTATGTTTAGCTGTAAGTAATGTAGACCCCGCCTACTGGCTGTATACTGTATAGTGATGCATTTCCTTTGTGATCTGTGGCTAATGAAATATTCTACAATATTAAACGTGTTCTGTGTCGTTATGTTTTGTTTTATTTTTAATGTGCCTGAAAATTCATTCTCTCGTTCAGTAATTAAGGTCGTAAGAGCGACTATCAACCAAGAAGTCCCGAATCGATTGGGCTCTCCCGAACTCTTATTGTGTTTTTTCGTAATATCATAGAACTGCAGTATTTAGCAACAGATCTGAGCCACTGATTAATAGTGTCTTACATTGTAGGCGTGTACCTCTATGATTGTAATCATTGAGCCTATGATCCCGATACTGCTTCAAAAGGGAATTCCTTAACTTTTTGATGATATACCAAGTCATCTGCCAAGTATGAGGATTATGGCACACCCTCTTAAAAGTCAAACAGCCGTATTTTATTCTGGCCGATAATACCTGATGAGACAAATTAAAAATAAAAAGGAATAAAACAACAGATTAAAAAATACTTATCATAGTTTTTATTCTCAATATTTTTGTATCTAAATTATATTGTCTTACACTATAATACTTAGACACCGTTGTGACAAATTAATTTTAATTAAATTAATTTAAAAACTGGGACAAGACCATTTAAGTACATTTTCAAAATTAAAAATCTTTTCCACAAAATTACAGAAGTATAAAGAAACAAAGATTGAATAACCATACTTGACATATTTGTACAACATTTGTGATTAATGAACAGTCGATAATACAAAATATACTCTAAATTGAATGTTTGAAAGTTAATTTTAGGCTGATATGATTAAGCAGATATTTGAACAAATATGCCTTTATAATTTGGTTTTTAAAATATGTGAAAATAGCTACCTGTGTTTATTTTAAATACCTAATTAATATCTCTAATTAGGTTTAGACCAACAATACATATTTAATAATGCCACAATAACGTAATATATATTTTAATTTTCTGGAGACAAAATATATTTAAAAAATTATGAATAATTCGACGTTATTGTTGGTCCAACGTACAACTTATTAATATAATTCATAGGAACATATCTTTACAGAAATATATCCTAAAAGTAATTATTTTGAATTAAACTAAGTATATTATAATTAAAGTTTGATAATTTATCATACTTAACATTTACATTATAATTAACGTAAATATCTCATTTTAATACGAACTTCAAAAAATAATATGATGAAAATTAAAACTCTTGACAGGCTTTAAATTATTGAAAATAAAGCATTCGAAAGATAAATAATCAAAGCTATAGTTTTTTCATCAATAAAATCGTGGTCACTATCCTCATTGCTTTACAAATTATCCACAGATGTACAGAGCACTTGAAATTGTAGAACATCGGCTAATTTTAGGTAAATAGTCTTATACTTATAAAGGCCCCGCGCTTCCACACAGCAGTTATATAACTTTATACAACATTTTATTATAACTTTCGTGAGACATACTTAATAAATTAATATGTTTTCGGCTTACACACGTAATTATTTGACGAGGAACTCGACTAGTTTCAAGCCATGCTAGAGGCTCATATTGATGAGCAGCATTTCGCGACCTGTCGACGACGACGTATGACGCGACAGTTGCCGCGGTATACAACATGTCAAGTTATTGCTACAACTTCTGTTATAACTTATTTAAAAATAAATGATAAGTCAGTATCTAACGTTGTATTAACTGTTGTGTGGGAGCACCTTTATACTAGTACTCTCATTTATAGTTGAAAATATAAAGCCATATCACAAGCATAAAAATGAAAGTTTAAAAAGATATCCAACACAGACACAATAAATTGTCATGATAACGGAAGTTATATAAATAAAATAAATGCACTGGTTATAGTTAAATTAATCTTACAATCACAATATTATTTACTAATTAACATAATTATAGGAGTAAAGTCAATAAACAAATTAGAAATATTGTGAAACATATTTTAAAATAACACAAAAAATGTTAGGTAAACTGCATTGTGGCTATGGACTCACATATTTAAAGGAATGTTTACCTACAATAAGTATACAATCAAAATTATAAGTAGAATTAAGAGTATAAATTTTTGATTATGGCTGCTCAAAACAATTGTCATAGGTAGGAAATAGATTTCTTCGCTACATATTTATTTTACTCACTTTGAAAACTAGTTTTTTAGTCTCCTTGACTCCGTTAATATGTCGACAAGTACTGTTTTTCAATTGTTCCATCTTTTGTATAATATATGATATTAGTCAGTATGTACAGCAAAATACTACTTGACGTCTTTGTCACTTACTCCTATAATTACGCAACGACACTACACAATATCACATTTGTCTTATAAACTACACAATATTTACAAAATACACAAAAATACACATCTTATACCTACTACACACACATTCATACATCACATAACGACTGTTGTATAAAATAAAATATCTTGATTATATTTCATGTGTTTTTTTGCAATTAAAAAATGGCCAAAATTAGTTTAGGTTTTGTCTGACAATAAATTTAATGAACGAAACATAACATCAATCATATAATTGATGATTTCGAAGAATGAACTTGATAAATATTCAAGAATTTTCGACATTCTTGTTTAATAACTCTCTACCCTGAAACCATATGCTTTTCATTTAGAAATAATTCGTTTTTCACTAACAAATTACCAACAGTCTAAACACATTTGCAACATCCACACTCATCTATAAACTAATAAAACATCCACTCTCACATACATCCACACGACTCTACCACCATATTGGGTAGAGTCTTCTGCGTGACAGTGTTAGTAGAGTCCATGTAGAGTAATTGTAGAGAGCTAAACGTAGTGGGGGCACAGCAAGGCTTGAACTCCGCTTTCTTGTTAGTTGCCTCATAAAGTTTCTGTAAAAAAAAGAAGTTACTGTTAATAAAATCACAGGTGTCATTTAAAGTAGATAATGCTAACTAAAAATGGCCTACATCAAATAATATTACAATTATATACATCATTTTTCATAATATATACACATAACTTTACTGGTAATTATAACATTGAAATCTAGAAGGATGACAAGATAAAATGGGTCAAGAAAATATATTCAGAGGTCCAATTTCGAATTTACTGAACTTTATATGTTACTATTAGACTACTAACAACAATACTGATTAAAATCATGGATTCAATATTAGAAGAACAGTTACCAAACAGAACCACGTTTTCTCATAGACTTTACTCAAACGTAAAAATAAGTTGAGCAGGAAAATACTTACTCTTAAAATATTATGATGATAACTATCAGTATTTGCTAACGCCGATATCGGGGTGCAGGATCCCTTGCAGAAGTATGCGTGGTAGCCGTCAGGTTTGATGATCCAGTCATCCCAACCGAGTTCTTTGAAGCTCACGTACAGCGGTTCCCTGCAGCACTCGCTGGTGGTGGCTCCACATTCCAAAGCTCTTCCTCTTCGTCTTTTGCCAGCATACTTGGTGTAGAGGACCAGGAATGGTCTGTGTTTCTCGTGGAAGGAGAGAGGGGCGCGACGTAGCTGTGGAAGAAGAATCGTGAGGTAAGTTTTTTGTTGATTTTTTTAATGGTGGTTTCTTGATGGTGGGCTAATTTTACTATTAATGTCGGAACTGTATTTGCGAACAACTTTACTAGAAACAAGAAGAAAAAAGTATGTGTATGACTGTTACAAAAACTATATAAACTAATTTGAAACCACGTTGGCGTACATGACTGTTAGGTATAAAGAAAAACTGTGATACTGATATTCCTCTAAAGGAATCAAACCCAACCGCTTTCACATTTCATTCCATTTATAACTACGTTTTTCTTACGTTATGTCGTGAATCTTTTTAAATTGCCCTACACTACGGTTTTCCTATTTATCGTAGATGCTTTTACAAACACAATTTTGCATGCACATCACACCTAGACTCGGAAAAACAATTCGTAAATCACACAAATAATTATCCCGTGTCAGGTCCGAACACGCAATTGTGCAGTAACAGCTCAGTCAATTATATTACTTTATCTTTAAGAAGATTACACTACCAACTGAGAAAATTATGAAATTGTTACTATTTTTCTGTTTTGTGAAAAATTAGATCGACTCAGACTTACCTGACAAGTTCTACAAGCAACATGCAGCGTGTGCAGCCTCTCCCTGCCTTCCAGCCACACTCTGACCGCCCACGCCAGCTCCACTCTCACCCAGCCTTCACCAATATTGGTCTCCTTGATGGCTATAGGTTTGGTCTTCTTAAACTGCTGCTGGCTGTCCCAGTGCGCTGCTTCTGATATCACGAAGGTTTGGTTGTATTCGTCTAATGGGTCGCGTTCCTAGAAATTGAAAAGATATTGTTAGAATAGGACGAGTGGTTATGCTAGGAAGTGTCGTCATGTTTACAACGAAATGTGTCTTGTATTTTATGAGTTATGTTTTGTATTTAGGAAGTGTTGGTTTTGAAGAAAGTATCTGTCATTTTCGTCGATCCTCATTGGTTAGCTTATTTACAAAATTGCTCTTCTCAATAAAAAAAACTTTCACACTATTTTACGTATTCTAGATAGATAGATAGATCAGGTTCATCCGATGACTTTCCGATCTCTATCCATATCCAGTAAAACAATTCTTCAATAAGATTTCACAATTTAGCTACCTCATAAGGTCTACTAGCAAATTACACTAAAAAATAAGAGTATACGATACATACCTTATAAAACCACAACTCGACCACGTTGACATCTTCAGGCTCCACATCAGGAGGCAGTTCAAACTGCAGACACTTGAAGGGATACCTCCCTGACGTCAGGCATTCACCTGCAAAAAAAGAGAAATAGGTTTAGACTTGACATGATCACAATAATAAGATTTTGCACAGAACATCTAGTTTGATTTAATGCATAAAAATTGTCATAGAGGACTGATTTCTCTATTAAATAATATAGATATGTACCCAGTTTATACAATACGATCTTGCAATAAGCAGACAAAGTTCGGATCCACTATCATACTTCAAGTTTGACATTCCATTTCTAGTTTTTGTTGTGATTATTTCGCATTGGGTGTGCCTCCTATTTATTTAGAACTGATAAAAATTATCTAAATCTAGTCTTGTCCTATGCTCCCTCTTTCATTATAGTTTCATAGTAATAAATATTATTATAATACTATCGAGTTATAACGCATATCGATAAGCCCTTGAATATTCTAATTTGTACAAATAACTACACGTGCGGTAGATTAGAGAATAATTAAATAATAATGTATCTACATATATGCTCAATTAAAAATATTAACAATAAATTAAATAACAATCAATATTTAGATAATCAATTATAAGATTAGAATAACCATAACTGTAGTGAAAGACGTAATTTAAAAATAATCTTTTGCTTAATTAAATTTAACACGTATGACAAATTATTTAATTATGCACATGGACGCTGTTTGATGGGAAGCGTTGGCTAAAGTATTATTGAGATTTTAATACGGATTCTACACGTTCTTATTTTTAACTCGTCGAGTACCGGTTTTGTAGACACAATTATAGAACAATAGGTTGCGGTCACCGGTGACCGCTTGGTGTTTGACAGTTTAATTTAAAACTGGTATTTGATATGGTCGACAATTTTACGAATCTTACTTAACTTAATAATATAAATATGAAGGTTTGTGAATGAGACAAACTTAAATTCACAAGTATTTGTTACTCAATCACATCAAAACGGCTGAAGAGATCGGGATGAAATTTGAAACATCAGTAGATTTCTACAGTAGAAAGAGTACGTTTCGTCTCACTATAACGTGAACGAAGTTGCTGGCAAAAGATAGTCTCATAATAAAATATATCCGGTAGTATACCTTCATATCTTTATTTTTAAGTAAAAACACAAGTAAGTAATGTTATGTTTAGGTGAATGATAAGAATATAATCTTATTTTGAGAGGTCAAAACCACCCAGTAACAACGACGAACAATATTTTCAAACACTTGGTAACTTACGCTTTCAAACAAAAATATTTACAACATGATTTTATCTTACTTTTATATCTAAACTTGAGGTCAAATATTACTAAGCAACTAAATGTCTTCTATACCTGTTTAAGACAAAGTAAAGAACATTAACAATGTGTTAGGTACGTGAAATACACACGGTTTAATATGACCTATGTTAATTGGACCAAGGAGCGACCCTTGGGGCATTCCACGCGATAACAGGCGAACATGTGTAGGTACGTTATCAAAATGACTACTATACTCTTTTATTATTCACAATAAATAAGAATATTAAAAAATAATTGTTTACTGACTTGAATAAATATAAATAATATACACATTTTGATGGCCCACTCAATCAGAAGCTTTGGACGGATTTATTATGTTTATTGTTTGATAAAATATACGTGACAGGCGGCAGATGAGTTTAATTATAACTTAACATTCTTCAACGATAATTGGATCCAATTATTTAGTAAATAATTGTTGTTTAACTCAACCGATCCATCTCATACACAACAGTGACTCAATATAAGCTCAGCACAAATTCCCCAATATTAAAATCCCTGCTACAATTAGAAGAAATAATGATAAACGACCATGAGTCAGCCATCACTTTCATTAAGAATATCAAAGTCCAAATACAGCACGATATTGTGATCTCCTGATATTACAGTATCCGGTAACAGATGATAACAGTTTCACTGAAGTCTGTACAATTAATAACCGATACGGAGATGTCACAGTAATGTAGTAAGGTCAATAACAAGTACCTGTTTATAACATAAATAAAGCAATAAACAAGTTTTTGATCTCTGTTCTTACAAGAACGCGAGTCAATTAAGTCGAGTTACAGACTCCAACTGCTGCAGAATGAGTTATTTTTTCTGTCAAATTTCTTTATGCTATTTTCGATCTTGTTGTTTTGGTTTAAAGTTAGAAATACAATGAAACGTATTGTCAAATTGGAGTAGATTAACTTGCTGGTCGCTGTGATATATAAGACGACTTGTGACTTGCATTTTTTACTAAACTAATAAACTAATAAAGAAAGATAGTATGTGGTGGGGTTAGGTTAAAACAACATTATTATAAAAAGGACATTGACATATATTTAATTGTATTTTTAAAACTTATACACTGTTGACAAATATTTATTTCACGTTTTTCCTCTTATTTTGACAATACATTTACTAACTGTATTATAAAACACGAATTATAAATCTCTTTAAATCAGTTTGAGTTCTTATAAAATCATTAGCTAATAATAATAAATGTAGGTGATTTTTCAACTTCTTTTTTTTTTTATTTATTTATTTATAGAGGTATATGCTTTATTGTACACATTTAAGTAGCTTAAAAACAAGTATATATGTGTAGAGGTACAATGGGCGGTCTTATCACACAATGGTGATTTCTTCCAGACAACCTTTGGATGGAAATATTTATAAGAAACCAGATAATCTTAATTATTTTTCTCCAAATAATGTTAATTAGTTTAGTCTTGAATTTAAAAATACGCGTGATACTAGGTACAATGAATATTCATATCAATAATACATTAAAACTTTGCTGAATTTGTCTCAATATTAATTAAGTATACCTACCCCCGATAAAACACATCAACGATCTGTATTTTGTATATGAGCCCGAGTAACAAAAACCTATTTACACAAATAATCTTCCAACTTCCTTATTTACAAAAGAATTTTCGTTTAAAAAGATAAAATTAACAGTTATATTGTCAATATTATTCTGATCCGAAGTAAATACTTATGTATAATTAATTAGATAAAACTATTTACTTGTCTGTTTGTTTATCTAATGACTTTTTATACGTTTTCGAGGTAAACAGTATTAATTGGCGCTCATTATGATATTATATATTATTAAGATCTTATATACTGGCATTACTCACAGTCATGTTTATTTTCTCATGAGAAGTTATATATTATTAAATGACAATTCATTATTATAAGGGACTAGTAACTAGCAAGTTAGTGATTCATCTGTCTCTAGATAACAATTTACTGGACTGATTTTTATACCATTTGCTGTGGAGATAGTTTTGGCACAGAGCTAAATATGTACATTTTTAGACTTTTTATAGATATGACACCAATTCTAGGGTCTACATCACTACATAATATAAAACAAAGTCGCTATCCGCCGTCTATCTGTCCCTATGTATGCTTAGATCTTTAAAACTACGCAATGGTTTTTGATGCGGATTTTTTTAATAGATAGAGTGATTCTTAAGGAAGGTTTATATGTATAATACATGTATATTGCACCCGTGCGAAGCCGGGGCGGGTCGCTAGTAATTTATAAATTATCATCTTTATATTTACAAGACGTACACTGCCAAACATAAGGGCTTCCCCAGTGACTGCTAGATAGACCCTTTGATTTTTTAAGAAATCCATATCCATGTTTTGATCCCATGGCATTACAAATTCTACACACATAATTATCTACAAACAGACATTTTTCACAATGAATTTTTGTTCTTATTACAAATATATCAACACTGAGCGGTTACCGGGGAGGTCACGTTTATCGTACAGCAGGCGAGCTGCGCGTGATCATGAATAGGTGCTAAATAGATAAACGGGATACTTAAAGAGCACAGTTAAATCTTAAACGTGGTTTGTTTATTATGTTCGAGGATTTTATACATATATTTATATATATATATATAGCTTCAGGCTGCGTATGATTATCCTTTAGAAGGTTTTATTATGATTTGGTAAGTTTGTGAATAATGGTATAAAATTCGTCATGCGCTTAAATATTTAAACTGCCAAGCAGAGGTAAACTTATAATTAGATAATGTGACGGCTCCTTTTAACCAATTATGTTATTTCAGTACCAATATAAAAAATTGAAAATTTACAGCATGAATAAATTCAATCAACTTTATCCTTCATCTTTTCTGTATTATTAAAGACGTAAGTATAGTTATAATACAATATTAAACTTCTAAGTCAATAAATACGCTACAAGATCGCTACGCATTTTTACTACGCTCGCTACGAATTTTTACAATCCTTCTACGAGTGCTACGAAACGTTTAGTATTCAGCTACGAGTGCTACAAGATTTTTATAATCCTACTACGAATACTACGTAATTTTTATAATCCGTCTACGCGTACTACGGCGTACTTATTTTAATTTTATAAGCACAATATACTCCTAATTACAATAAACTGATGAATGGCCTCAGAAAGAGGGTTTATCACTTGACTCCGTTAACAGCTGATAACATTCAAATTAGTTTAATTAGTGACAGTTCAGGGTTCAAACCGACCAAGTTTTTTATTACCTCTCCCGTCCCACTTCGATATAATTAATTAAAATACAGTTCCGTGTCATATTTTATTTTTAATTAATGGAAAAATACTAATAAAGAATGTGAATGTATTAGGGCTTTTTAAAAGCGCAATCAAATTCATACAAATCAAAGAATTAAACAAACAGACATAAAATTATCCAATAACCTCCCCCCCTTCCCTAATCTCCCCAATCCCCGAATCCCCAACAATCCTCAAACTCCTAATCCCCAAAAGGCCGGTAACGCCCTCGTAACGCCTCTGGTGTTCCAGGTATCCATGGACGACGCCGATTGCTTACAATCAGGTGATCCGTCTGCCATAAAAAATAATAATAATGAGTAAGTCAGGATGGTATCAAAATTAATATGCGACTAAATAATCATCAAAATAATATAATCATATATTCGATTTGAACTGTGAATTGAGATCAGTGAAACTCTTGTTGGAGTATGATGAGTTATAGTCGGTATGAGGCAAAAATGAGG